ACGAGTAATCTCGATGATCGGATGAGTGAACAAACAACAACTATGCGGTCATGATGAATCCGATTTCTGGTTTCATGATGAAATTGTTTCTAGAAATCTGTGATATGATGTGACTTCCTTTTATTTTACCAAGACAACGTTCGTCCCATGTAGCGATATATATTATGATATATACGTATGAATACGAATCGCTGAAAAGGAGCTAGTTCGCTACTCGGTTGTTTTGTTCCAACTGTGCTCTAGGGGACTGTTTTGACAACCTTCATTCTGTTTTTCGTTTTCTTGCAAACCACGGCAGAAATGCCGTTTTCATAGTGTCGGTCAAGGTTCCTCAATTTGTTTTTTGCTCTTTGTCCCGTACTTCCGATTCATATCACCACTTCAGATGTGCCTCAGAGAACAAAGGGTTTCCCCGATCCGAAGAACGAGCTAGCGATTCGGTACAGTTGGGTGTAGCGTTCGCCGCGACCAGTATCACAATGACTGTCGCAGACGAGACCGGACGTGCCCTATTCCCCAGGGATAGCACTCCGTCGCACTCCGTCGCCAATACTGGCCAATCGGTCCGCATGGACATGTCACACAATCCGCCGATCATTTCAGCACAAGCCGGGGGCAAGTTGGCCGTAAAGTGTCACATGGATCTGTCCAATCCGAGACCGAAGATTCAATGGCGATTATATCGATGTCCAACGCAAACCATCAATATCAGTGAACCAATTCCATTTAAAGAATTGACAAAGGAATGTGTGATTGAAACAATTCAAGGTAATTATCACATTTTACGTGTTCTCTTTTTTAATTTTAACTCAGTAGATTACCTATTTTTGTACCCACTGCGTTGATTACAGTGCCATTACTGAATACTTCGAACCAGTTAACCAGCAGTACTATTTCATTAGAACAAAGATCAATCGATCACGTCCATTATTCAATCAAACGGGATGAGGAAATGAGGTGATTCGAAGCGTAAAGTGCATCAAAAAACCGTTTTGGTGTAGAGCCACACGAAAGGCACCATACTGCAATGGCATCCGAATGGGTCAGCTTATCCATCGAGCTTGTGTTCCGCTGCACCATCCGTCGAGCTGGTTCGGGACAGAAATAGACAATGGTCTACAAAGAATGAAGGAAGAAGTTCATTCTGTTTTACCTGAGAGGGCAGAACAAAACGACGATCACTAGGCAGGCTTCATATGAACTCAAATGGTCAATCTGTACCCCAGGATCGATTACCAGTTTAATTGAACGCGCTCGTTGTGCGTTTGTCATAGGAATCGTCCTGCTGTGTATTGGAACTACAGTTGCAGTCGGTGCACGGGCTGAGATGATGAATAAATAGCTTTTGGAACTGCTTTCCCTTTCCCATCGAACATAAAAGACCATTGATGGGACTCCAGTCAACAAGAGAGAAATGATTTTTTTTTCTGCAATGACTGAGACAAGCAGCGTGACAATACGCATGAGGAGAGACCTTAGATTTAGAGGTTGACAGAATTTTTGAAACTGCCATTCATTCATTTGTGAAATCCCCTGAATAGCTCGTAACAAAGAGGTTTAACAAGTAACCACCGAATTGATGGAGAGCAAGTTACGAGGCAAGGTGAGGAGTGAGCAGAGAGAGAGAGAGAGGATCGCGGATAGAAGACAAAGAATCGAGCAGAGATTGGAACATAGGAACAGCGGTCTACTGATCACTGCCCACCATGCACGATGCAATGAGCAGCCCGGTCCCGATGAACAATGCAGTATGGAATTCATTTCAGTTTATGTTTTCACATGTATGAATAAAACCCAAGTCTTACTATCCCCAGATTAACTGGATGAGCCGAAAACGTTTTGCGTGAAGGTAGAGTCAGAAAGCTTATTGGTCCAAATTAACAGTTGAAAAAGTCAGGGCAGCTAGTGCTGCCTCGGGGACCCAATTGATAGAGGGCATGCTGAACACAGATGTAAACGGAGCGGGTTCGATTCGGGTTCCAGTTCAACCGAGAACTTGATTTGTCTTGTGAAAATAATGTGAGAACTTTTACGAATCAATGTGAACTGGTAACGTTTGTCTTTTCTATTCATGTTCAACGGACGGATGTCAATAAGTTCAATCATGAACTGATCTTCTGTTATTCACTCACTGAGATTTGAGTTTAAAAATTTTGTTGTGCTCAAATATACAAAACGCATGATTTAGGAATTGTGGAATCAATCGCATTCATGATATGTTTTTTCTCTCTTAATAATGGAAAATGAAGTGATTTGGATGATGTTTCTTTCAAATTTTGTTTCCGTAAAACACCTCGTGAAGTGCTTGTGAAGCACTTTTATCTCAGTTTCTAACCGGCCGATTAATTTTACGTATCCACCGATCAAACGCACGCGATTGTTCTCTACGGAGTACTATATTAACCCTTCAAAATATTGTCCATGGTTGGCACATTGCATGTTTTTAGTCACTTGTTTTATTGGAACGTAACTGAACAGATGAGCATAACTGAGGTCGTTACAATGAGGTGATTTACTGTTGCACAACAACGACAGCATTAGCATTTACATTATAACATTTGATACCGGGGTATCCTGCGAATACCTGTCTTCTTGTGTTTGGTTTCGGGTAAAGGAATACTGTACTTTGATCTTGCGCCTGCATTTATCTAAATCCTATTGAAAACACTGCATCTTTACCGGGTTATCCCAAAAGCCCGTGTGCAAATTGAAAAGAAAAAAGACCAGTTCTCATTTCTGGGGCAACTATTCCCCGAGGGACTGGCCAAAGGTTACGTGCCAAGGGGTACCATTGGTCTGTATGTTAATTACGACCGACCGACCGACTGCGTACAATTATCCAACTCACTTGCATGACCTGACCGTGGCAGGGAACCCCGTGAAACGGAAATCGTTTTACATTCAAATTATACAGTAGCGGTCAGTAATCATCAGTCATCCTAGGTGGCGTGGTTTACGACTTATAAAATCCGTCGGAACACACACACACAAACACAATCTTTCGTTCACTCTCAGGGACGGCTGTGCTACCACCGGATTTGAGCACTTCACTCGTGATTATGAACTCAAACCGACCCCGTGCATTTCGGATGACGTGTGGTTTCTGGTATATCAAATGAAATCATTTCCAACCGTCTAATAGAAACCTACTGTTGATCTCAGAATGATAAACAACTGTTGGTCCCGCCAGAAACTATCTCACTAAGGTGACCTTAAACCATCTAATTGTAGTATGCTATAAGAAGTAGTTCAGTCATAAAAAGAAAACAATTTTCTAATGCTGGCAAAACAGATGAAGACAGAAGCGATGACGCTTTACAAAAACGCAAACTAACTGCCCCCTGATCAATGGCAATTGTTGGACGAGTCTTCCCATCATCTGTCGTAATCTGAGCAAGTTTTTCTACAGGGATATGCAAGTTAGAAAAAGCCACTGTATCATTCCCTCCATGATTGAGTCATTTCTTTTAGATGAAAGGTTCATACGTCTCGAAAATTTCTGTTATTTGGAACAAATAAAATGATTTCCGGAGCTTCCAGTACAGTCGGTTAACTGCGTAACTTACTGCTGTGGGTACTTTCATGTAACTGGATGTGATACAACAAAGAGCGTGATTTGCTTACCGGCACCTGTACAGTGCCACATTGACCCCTAATGGTAAATAGATGTTCCGGCCAATGAAACATGGAGTTATATCACAAAGTTCTCCTTATTTAACATGCACTAATCAGTGTAGGGGAAAAAGCCGCCTCCCATTTGGTAGAGAAATTCAGGAAAGCCCTCGTGACAATATACGCAGCAGCGCAATCCGTCGTGTTACACACGACTTGGTTTTCTGCCATTCGCACTGACTGTGAGCTGTGCTCATTCTGGAATTCTCGTTTCATTCAGCTCACATGGTCCTAATTCCTCCACTGCTCAACCAGGCCGGGAGATGCTCACAGACTCGCTCAGATAAACGTCTGCTCGTGCGGCCAATGTACCTTGCCCCACAGGAACAGGTAAATAGGTATACACAGAAAGAGACGGCAGAAACAGGCAATTTATTTTTGAGTTGAAAGCGCAGAAGTGGCCCGGAGATGAACATAATACGCAGTTTTGACACGGGGAATGCCTTTTCTACAACTGTACAGAGCTTACGTGTCATCATATCGGCATTCGTGTCATCCTTGAAAGGTTTTCACATATATTTACTGAAGTAGATCACCAAATAGAATTGATATCGCATTCTGTCACAATACTGAGCGAGGACTAATAGAAGTCTTTCTTCGCGACTACTGACAAAACTGCTGATCAGTAGTTGAAAGCATCTAAAAGGTATTCTCATGCTAACTAAGCATATCACATCGCTCTCCCAAGTGATGTACCGAAGTCCCACGTGTATGGCAGTAGATAATGTTTGTCTTCAGTTACAGTGCTTAGAGAACGATGTGTACGGGACTGACGATGGTCAGAAAATAACACCCATTAACTCCTAACTGTGATCTAGGCTAAGTCAAGCCTAGGCCAAATCGGAACATCTTGGTGGCAAGCTGAACTTAAAAACAACAAGCAATAGTGTGGAAGTGCTGTTGTGAGCATGTACAAAACAATGCACCGCAATTTGTAGCTTTATCCCAGTAGGTGTGCCAGAATGGGGCGGAATAAACAGCTCCAAATGAAAAAAACTAAGGGTTACATCCCCCTGACGAGTGAACCAATCCCAAAAAGGAGGTAGTGCCAAGGTTCACATGTGCAAGCGGGTCAACAGATGAATTGGATAATTAGTCGAAATACTACCAATCCGTGGCAGGAAATGAAACAATTCCCGATAGTTAGAACCCACAATAACACAAAATCTAATACATAAGTACTGGTGTCTGTGATTTCGCAAGGGAGAAAACAGGCGAGCTAAAAGCAAACACTGAAACGGTCGAGTTTTGAACTGACCTCTGATAGGGCCTGGAACCGGGGTCACGGGAAGGAATGAGATAAAACAACTGTGTTAATAAAAAAAAGAAATGGTTTGATGGGTGGTGAATGGGTGTGGGATGTATGGGTACAATCTACTAATTATTGGGCTCGGATAATCCCTGATGCTATTGGGGTCGGTAAAAACGTGGGTTTGGCGATAAACCGACTCAAAAATATCCGAATCGATTTGGAAAAGTGATACTTTGCACATCTATAAAACAAGGTCAGAAATAGTTTAAAAAATTGAGAATCACCTGCTGGTGTTCAAGCAAATCATTATCTGCGGAGAATGCACTGAACAAAAACATATTTTATTCCTCGATTTCAAAATCGGTCCCAGGGCAACCGAACGGAAGTGCTTCTGCTATTCAAGGCCATTTTTAGATGGCTACTTAACTCAGTGATAATGTTTTTCCCTACCAATCGAAACGCAAGCGATGCGTGACCCGCAAAGGGAATAAACGCAGTTTGCACGGCTGATGAGCTTCAAAAATGACGAAATAACTTACCTTCACACATAAAAGTCCCATGCGCACAGAATTTGATGAAAATATTATTTTCGGATAAATGATACGTTTTTGGTGGACGGCAACAGAAAAGGAATTTGTATTCACTGTCGGACAAAACGAGATATGCAATTACTAAAATTAGGAAATAAATTCTCTTTTTGAATGATTTACCTTTAAATTGAGGCTGAAACTATTCGACCAATTGAAGGCAGCGTTACACTTACTTTGATATCGCTCTGTTTATCCATTCATCTATCTATCTATCTATCTATCTATCTATCTATCTATCTATCTATCTATCATCCATTTATCTATCTATTTATCTATCTAATGAAGTAAATATTTTCACGTGTATCTCAGCGAACAGTCTTTCTTGGAGTTATTTTGAAAGGATCTTCCATTATAACCGTCAGAAGCAAGTAACCGAATAAATCGAGAATACCATGAATATTTGTCGAAATGACTATTCAGCACAATAGTTGGAGTCATTCTCTATTTAAGTATCATTATCATTTTGTTACCAAATGGTTTTTCTCCATCGTGTTCCGCTAAATCATCCTGAAAATACAACAGTCCTATTGGCTAATTATAGCTTAGCTTATTCTGACTTGATGCTTTTTGTCTGCCTCCTCCCTCTTTTTGTAGGTGGCGAGGAGAGTGTGCTCGATAAAACTGTCATTCAGAGTCAAATTGTCCTCGCACTGAACTGGACACATCACGGAGACATTATCGAATGCATGGCTGAACCGCAAGTCCCCTGGGCTTTAGGCCCGGATCATATGTCTGTACACATCAAGGACGGTATCACTCAGCCACGATTACGCGAACGTGTTTTGATGAACATCCAATTCGCGCCATTATTTCTCCGTCCGGCGCAACATTTAAATTGGCCGGTAGAAAAGATGCACGTCGGTTTATTTGAACATCGATTGCCTCAATATATCGTGGTTGACGGTAAGTCAGAACGGATGTTGGGGTGTGTGCGTAGAAAGCATTCGATAGTAAAATAGATGTTGGAAAATTGTTATCAACATCTGAGTTCAACAGGCAGCCCAACGTTGTTCAAGTTCTGTTCTGTTGAGCATTAGCTTCGTTTATCCGACTACTACTCAGTGGAGGAGTAAGCAGCATGCTTTCTCTAGTGAAAAATCGACTGTTAATGCTTCAGAATTTGTTGCAACCTATTGATAATGTTTGTTATCAGGGATTGGATGTGACTGTTGACCTCATTCGTGAGCGTTCAATAATTTCCGTTGCCTATGCGGCCTTTAAGTTGCAAATGTCGAAAGAAAAGGTCAATGAAAAATCGAGATCCTCCGATCCGTTCCGGAAACAGTGGGGACTTTGCACGTTCAAATGTTGACACAGAGACACTCGAAAAATAAGGATTCTGTCATTAAAACATGATAATAGCCCACTGAGTTTCGAATATTGACAACGGCCTGTCGAAAGTATAATTGTTTGTTATGCACCGTTGCACGTACGTGAATTAAAGAATGAACGAAGATCTCAACTAAGGTAATCGACTCCTGTCATCATCCGATGCCTCATCACGACCGATCTGAGTCTAAACCGTATCAACTGGTATGGACAGCCATACACGAGCACATTAAACATAAGTCAATCTTGGTTCGGTATGCAAGAGTGAGTGAGCGTGCGCGCACACACCCATACACACGCATACACGTGCATCAAGCAAGCACAATCAATCGAGTGATGTTCCGCAGATGATGAATATGTTGCTTATCATGCTCCAACTGATCATGTGATTTAGGGATGCGCACGCACGTATCAACGCACACTGGTAATGCCCAACATCATATAGGGTGTGAATGTGAGTGTGTCCACGTCTGACAGACAGGATGGACAACGGGAGGCTGGGTTTCTCGGGTCGGTTACTGCTCCAACTAAACTGACTTTCTTGACGAATCGGGGTGACAGTTACATCAAGTTGAATGACAGTTCATTGTCTTCTCGTTTTTGGCATTCGGTCATCTGAAGTAACAGGGCTGGGGTTTTCGCATGTAGAAAAGTAAATCGACCTCGATTAACTATTAGACTATGGATGTAATTCGCTTTTTGGGATATTCACTTATGAGCATTCATTTCGTTTTAGATGAAGATGTTGCATCAGTACAACTCGTCATTCACATTTTTCTAGTGAAATGGATCAAGTTTATTATATAGAATCGGCATTGTTTTCAAATGCAACTTTTTCTAGTTACATCGAAGGATCGTAGGCAACTGCACACGGATAGCTAGGCTCATACTACCATGTGGAAAATTAATTTGGAGGATTAATAGAGTGTACATTATTGAACGAAGGCGTTCCGTTTTCGGGGTTGATCAGTGATTTTTGTGCGATGGAAATGGTTGTGATAGGCAACAAAGAGCACTGGACAGCTGTTTCGTCCTGTTTGGGACTCGTCAACAGTGCGTACTTATTGTGTCCCTGTCAGGACTCGAACAGCGATTCTTCGGGCTGGGACTTCAAACCCTTACCCTTGGGCTACACGGTCGATGGTTATCACCTTGTGCGAATGGCTCAATCAATTTAGATGGTGAATGTTTGGATTAGCCCATTCGGTTTTTCACAGGCACCAGGCACTGTCCAGTGCTCTTTGTTGCTTATCACAACCATTTCCATTGCACAAAAATGCAAAAAAACAGTGGGGAATTAACGATCTCCCAAGGAGTGAAACCCACTCACATCGAACATCATTAACAGTGCCTGGTGCCTGTGAAAAACCGAATGGGCAAATCCAAACATTCACCATCTAAATTGGTCAGTGATTATTTATAATAGACATAGTAAACCTGTATGATCGTGACATTTCTTCGACTTTCAAAGTCAGTTTTATTATGAGTGATTTAACAAAAGCAAAGCTTGTCATGCCCCATAGGATTTTTACAGAGTATTTCGGATAAGTTTACAATGAGAAAATAATAATAATAACAATTTGCATGATCACTCACGGGTGTCGAACTGTTCAGTATTCTAATGCTTCATCAAGTTGCGATTTAAATAGTTCAACTGTAGGGGCACACAATACATGGGATGGAAGAGAATTTCATGCACCCCATACTCTGGCTGCAAACAGGTGATGCCGGCAATCAAGGTGGCTGTTCTGGGTCTTCACCTTTTTGAGATGTCCCCTCAGGTGACCACTTTGAGATAATGTCAGCACAAAACGGCAAGGATGATTGGGTTGATGTAGTATGTCAATATCAGGTCCCCCCCCCACCCCGAAGTCGATGGTACTGAGATGAGTAAAGCATAAATATTTGCAGTCTTTCTGAGTATATCTTGTTACACAGACCTTTAACCAGTTCAGTTGCCAACCTTCGCAGACGTTCTAGGTCCTTCTTGTCGCAGTTCAACCCTGGATTCCCTACTTCAACGTGCGTATCCGAATGAACATTGATAGCAAGCGTGGGAATAGTGCTTTTTCGAAGTGCCCGAAAGCACTTTTAAGTAGTCCAACTTGCTTCAGAGTCATAGATGATGCTCTGGCACAGTACATGGAACATCCTACGTTCACCTGTACCCCAACTCCCCAGTCCCTTTCATCAGTGGCATGAGTTATTATTTGGTTCCCCAGAATATAAGAGAAACGACTCTTGTGCAGTATGGGAATAACTCGATGACATTGGCGATTGACCATCGGTGGTCTTCATCGATCCTCTAGATGTATTACAGTTCTCCAGATTTTAGCGTCGTCCACAAATAGTAGTGTATTAGGCCTAGGGACATGCAGTAGGTTGTTTATAAATGGGAAAACAGACAAGGCCCCAGCACGAATCCCTATGGACCCCCTAGGACAGCGTTCAGAGCTTCAGATAATGAATCACCAACACCAACGTACATGGTGGTTTGTCGGAAAAACTCCTTGATGCAGTCGAGAACCAGACCTCTTACTCCATAATTCTAGTGTTTTCACAGTAGAGTTCGGTAGTTTACTCAATCAAATGCTTTGGAGAAGTCCAAATAAACTAGTTCCAATGGCTCACCTGCATTCGTGGTGCACAAACAACGGGGTTCGAAGCCAGGTATCCATTGTTCATCGTTGCTTCACAAACTTTATCAGAATGAGACACAGTTTCGTTGATACTTACCTTGAATTTCGCTACCTGGTTTGACCGAGAGGTCGCAAGTTCTATCGAGCGATGATTGCTATACTATAAACCGATCATACATGTTGGGCTCCAGCTGACCACTCAGTTCCCATCATTCCCCGTTGGATCACCCGTTTGTCCTGGATGCACCACCTTACCCATTGCTAATTTCAGAATGTTAGCATGCAGTTCCAATATACATTTACCATCGTTTATTGGTTTCACACCACAATTTCGACTGCATTCGTTTAAGTTACCGTCACCCCAACTCACCAAGATTGATCGGTATTCGTTCACTCCAGTCCACTCACTCCAGTTTACCACCGGTTGCTCTGTGTGAATTAGGAACGAACGCAATACGGCCGGAGGACTGGACAATGGCCACAGGCGAAATTCAGATCCCTTAGGTGTTCTCATGAGAAAATGTAAATTACCTGAGCGATACCCATAATGTCATTTTGATACGAGATGGAGGTAAGTCACAGTGTGACTTACAGTGCTCAATTCGGTCGATGGACTGGTAGGCCAATACGTAGATAACTGTAACAAAGAGTACAGATAAAAAAATCGGACAAGACGGAAGAGAATAATCGGACACAGTGAAAGCAAACTGATTATCCAAACAAGACGGAGTGATATGTGGGAGCTGATTGAAAAAGGAGTTATAGAGAAACGAAGTATTTGGTAGTGCAGCTGGAATAACGAGTGTGTATAAGATAAGTAGGGCATGATCAAAATGAGTCTCGGTTCATTGTAGCTCAGAATGTGGATAAAGCTCTACATTGTAACGATTTCGACTAGTGTTTACCGTGAAAGAGGATCAAAGCTGAAAAAAATTAGCCCGAACTTTCCTGGCGATTAATGCGTCGGGTTGATAATCAACCGTGAATAGGCTCGAATCCTAATTCACTTGGCAGATATAACCACCCGCAGAAATTCTTTGACAAGCCAACTGAAGCAGTTGAACAGAGTGATCCTAATGCGCTTCTGGAGTGTAAAAGCGTTTCGGTAGACAAGAAAATATGTACAAATATTTCCTCAATCTAAAAAAGTTATAATCAATTGACCAAAAGCATTGAATAAGCTTCGGAATGACCATTCAAACAACCATTTTCACATGACATGTTCCATTAGGGATGTCAAAGCGGTGAACCTCACTGCACTAGGCCCAATTTAAACAGATTTACTTGTTATAACAGAGTGCATTATTTCGAAACAAATACGAATAGCTATAAGAATGAGAACTTAATGAAAGAAGAGGATATTCCTGCACCCACCCCTAATGAGCCAAGCCATTGAGCAAGTGTGAGTAACATCCGGCCATGGATCTGGAATGCTGATTTATTCTTTTCGAACTTGTCATGAATGTTCCCCCCTCCCCTCGCTTCGAAACAATTTCATATAAATTGTAATGTATTATCCTATAGAAGAATCACTGCATACGAGCTTGTTTGCTACTCTATGTTTTCTTACAATGTGTAAGGATGCCATATTCAGACAAAAATATGTATATTTTTGATACCAATTCACGATTCATTTATAATAGTTTCACTAAAACGCGGTTGTGGAGGACATGAAATTTAACTCCTATGGAGCTTTTCTCTCGATACCAAATGCGAACGAACCGCCAAAACAATCTACATGTCTAATCACTTCCACATACTCGGGAGAGAGGTAGTGCGGTTAGCCGCAGACTGTCCCAGGCCGTTAGTCAACAAAGTATGCCTCAAAATTACTGGAAATCGGATGCCCCTCCATTCGCTACTTACTACTACACCTACCTCTATGTTGTAGCGTTACAGAACACGCTGTTCGCATTCACACTTCCACTTTGTGTATGCTATTTTTATCCTTCTGTTTGCAAAAGAGGCATGCCCGTGATTTTTTGTTTCCATCGGCGGAACGTAATCTACAGTGCACATCTGATACACCTGAATCTGAAAGATTTTCATACACCTGTGTGATGTGTTTGGGACATGTCGGTATAACCATTTATTTGACCAGATTTCGCATTTCTAATAAACATTTATTACCATCACTCTCATTACCCCATCAATGTTAAGTCACGTGACTTCGCATTTTCCTTATTCATTTGCAGGTGGTTCGGTGGATTTGGACCTTGAACCATCAGCCAATCCGGAGGTGACCAGTTTCGTCTGGTACAAGAACGAAGACCTCCTGCAGTTGACAAACACCATCACGTCCAGTTCATCTGAGCAGCAACAGCATCAGCAGCAGCAACAACAACAACAACAGATGCGTATTTATGCTCACAATTCCGTTCTACGCATTCGACCAGTTCGGATTGTGGATATGGCAAATTACACATTGCTGGCCACAAACAGTTTGGGAACTGCTCGATTTCGTTTCTTTCTCAATGTGACGTGTAAGTTACCGTTCTTGGGTCAGTGTGTGATGATTGGTCGTGTGATTGAGTGTCTCCGGGCGATGCATCTCACAAACATTCCAATGTTCCTCTGTATAGGAACAAAGTGTCTTGGGCAATAATCTTTCGTATCAATCGGTTGAGCTTCATCATTTACCGCTGATCTAATCACTTTTAACCACCAAGGCGTTGCGCTCGGGAAGCCAGATTCTTGTGCTACGGTAACCATGTGCTTTCAGAGTCAAATACATTATTATTATCATTATTATAACTGGACAGGTTATATCAAGTAGTCAGGTTTTAAATTTTTATGGTTGCGTCGTGACTCTGCGGGATTATTACTTGGGTGAGTAAGTCACAATATTCATATATTCAATGCTCTATCATGAACCGACTGAGTGAAACGGCCTACACCATGGTCACGTGATTGGTACGGTTGCGTTCTACTTTTCACTCTCCACTTGCCTGGTTGGTTCTTATTCCTTAATGTTGGACTAGCTGTGCAGGAATCCCTATATGATGTACACCGGTTACTGCGATGAAAACAAAGGACGAGTACTGTGTTATGTGGTGTTAACTCGTGCCTAGCGGATGAGACTCAGTGATCGGACTGTGCATTCTAGTCAAGGTCAGTAGTTGATTGTGTCAGTTCAACTTATTTAGACTGTCGGTTCATATTTGCCACACAGAGTGAACATGCTGCTCGCCATGGGAAGCACCTGAGAACATCACTTGTTTGGAACCACCATTATTGATAACCCCTAAATCACCTGAGATTTAAACCCTGACATGAGCAATTGTCGGTTTGATATGTTGATAAAAAATAGCCGTCCGTAGTGGCAATTTAAAGCTTCCAAATGTCCACCATCGATTGGTTGTTTCTCGATCCGTAGTGGAAACCTGTTCTAATTATCTGCCGAACCAAATAGACGATCTGTGTGTGTGTGTGTGTGCGTCGCATGAAAAGGTCTGGACAGACCCTTAAAATATGTGTCCTTTCCTCCAGTCT